ATCGCAACCCTCGGTGTCGCGCCCGCACCGGGGACCGGCAATGGGATCACAACCCTCGGTGCTGCGCCCGCACCGCACTCAACCAGTGAGTGGGAACCGGTCTCCACATGGGATCCAAACCCTTGGCGGGAGCACCACCGCCACACTCCCAAGCAGCACACTCTCCAGTGCACCACCGGGCCGGCCTGATACACAATCTTATCTTACTTATAATTGATGGATTTGGGATATGGCCGGCACCATTGTGCACACAATAAGCACCAGCATGAAATAACTACAGGCCTGGTCTTCCACTCCAGCACCAAGCCCCTGCCCGCTTCCCTTTAGGAGAAGCCTCCTGACTTAGAAACAACTTTCCAGCTTCCGCATCAGCGTAGTTCTTCACCCAGTGACATCAACCTAATGGTCCCTCCCTGCCGTACATTTCACACCCAACAGCTAATATAAACTCTGGCAAACCCATTGTTGGTGCTGTCCCCCATTTTCAGGGCAGCCCCTGGCTGTCCTCCATTTTGAGTACAGCCCAGCAGATTTCTTTCTTTAATGAAGCTTGAATGGTACCCAGCATCTCTGCTCACTTCCTTTCAATAATAAATATGTTCTTCTCTATAAATTCTATATGACTTTTTCAAAAAATTCCAAGAATGAAGTGGATTGCATCATTCTTCCTGTAATCTTAAATGATGCCTTTTTTTTCTTCCTGTAGTTCAAGATTTCTTCTACAGAAAGTATTCCCACCATCAGCTGGGAACTAACACAAGCATATCAACCATGGATGTATAAGACTCAATATTGGGTTCCATGGGTACAAATAAAAATAGCATATTCTCTTATCTAAAAAAGAATGTATTTGATTTGAGAACACAAGCTATAAATACAATCAGAGTTAAGGACACTAAACTTTTACATAACAAGTTTGAGATAATTTTTTATAGCTAACATTTGTAGAAAACTTCCAAGATACAGGCACTATACTAAGTGTTTTTGTGCACATCATCTTGTTTAACATTCAAATAATCCTATGATTTAATCACTTTTATAATTCCCCCTTTCCCTACAAGAATTTGATTATTAAAGAGGTCATGATAACTTGACCAAGGTTGTCCATCTGGTAACTGAGGAACATGAGATTAGCACTACCATCTGTACTGACTACCTTCTTTGGTAGAATGGAGCCATGATGCTAACAACTTATACAAGGATACTTCAAAAAGTTCATGGAAAGATTCATATTATCTTTTAACTCTATATTTCTATGAACTTTTTGAAGTACCTGCTTATTTTTTTTATGTTCTAGATTCATTGACATTTATTTGTTTTTAAACTCCTGTCTTGTATATGCCAAACATGAACATAACTGAGCCTAGAAAATAAAATAATGATAAATGTATGAAAATTAGGATAAAAGGAAAATTGAGGAAGGCATTCTGATGCAAAAGGCCATGAAAAAATATGAATTACAAAGCTACAGGATTTGATTTAAGAAGTGTGTGAAAATAGTGACTATTCCAGGTACCAGGACTACAAAGGGTTTTTTCCAGTGTACTGCCATAAAGCAGCCACTCGGTAATAGCCCAAAGCCCTTTATAACTACCCCATTGAACATACAGAACGATGTATAGGAGCTTTCTGTTAATGGCACAGATCCAAGTCACAATTTGATTAAAGGAAATGTGACATGGTCAAACACAGGCAATCCATACATACAGCTATACAATGATATGATGTAATTCTAGGACACATTTGAGAGTACTGAGAACTGTTTCTCAAAATAAATGTGTTAAAGATGGGCTCAAATTCTTTTCTACTCCCTGAAATGAGAAGTGAAGACTAATTTCTCTCTCATTAAATGAGGACTGATCTTAGTGACTTGCTTGACTATTAGAATGCAGTGAAAATGATATTCTATATCTCCAAGGTGAGGTTGTAAGAAATCTGGAATCTTCCAGTTAGTAACACTCTAGGATCCATGAGCCACCAAGTAAGAAGTTCAAGTACCCTAAGACAACAAATGCTAGGGAGGCCACATGCGGGTTGCTATCACCCACACTTTCATGCAAACTAGGGTTCCAGTCAACTTGGCCAT